TGGAAGATCTGTGTGGTCGCTCATCCGAAGCGCGTGAACCCGCATCTCAGAATGCACGCAAATATTAAAGCGGTCATATGATGCTGCTAAAAAGAACATTATTTTGTGTATTTGGTGTAATGAAATGTGTTTATGCAGTTTAAGGTAAAAAAAAACATTATTTTCCACATACTGTACATTATTGTTTCTCCTCTATGCTCTGCCTTTCTGAAACACTTCGATTTTTACAAAGCCAAAGATTGGCCCGCTATCCAGTGCGTTGTGATTGGCTGAATACCTCAAGCATTGTCATGCCTTGTCCCGGCTGGAGCGACGATACAAAAACATTAAAACCCATTATAAACGAGACATTTATTGCATCCAGTGGATTATAATGACTTATATTCTTTTTATGCGTTGCGTTGCATCGCGTAAACATAAAACCATGTCTGCATTTGTGATCGGAGAAATGACAAACAACAAGCGCTACTCTACACTGCTCAAAACTCGCGTTTGAATCATCAGTGGCAAATCCTTTAAATGAAAACGTACTTACAGTCTGTGAGTCAGAACAGCCAGCATTGTAGTCTTTTCTTCCAGAATCAGGAAATAGTCCTCCATAAAATGCGCTGCACACATCTCAATATTTGGGTTGAAGTGTTCTGGAACAGTGTTGTAAATACAACTTAACCACTAATTTCTAGTTGTGTCCTCTTTTGGAAGGCCAAACAAAGTCATTTCGCTTTCACAACGAAACACACAGCATCACACACGGCCGGCTTGAGTGAGGAGCGGCCGGCAGGCTTACGGCAACCACTTTAGTCTTTGCAACTTTACAGATCTTCTTTATGCACCAAGAGCTTGTAACACTCCAAAGAGAAAGGAAAAATTTTAATCGCATCATATGACCCCTTTAAGTTCTCTGTGAAGTATTGTGCTTGAATGGACAAATTCACACAAAACTTATGTCAAAATGCCCATCTTGGTGAGTATCCTAGCAGACATAGTCGACAGAACCAACAGTATCAATGCACTGGATCAGTGCATTCTCTTAAAGTGACAGCACTTTCTTAATGTTAATCAAACAGCAACAACATGGAAATCTCTCACTGCTCTTGATTGAATAACTTTTGTAACTTTAATAAGGATTAATCTTTAATTTATACAGTCAAATATGCAATGTTATTTTACAATTGATTTATTCAATTTCTGTACCTAAAAACTGTTAGACCTACCTAAAAAAAATGAAAAGCACTGTTTATTTTATTTGTATCTTTTTTCACTGTTTATTTATTTGTGCTGTTGCTTGTAGTTAGATTATTTGTTCTTATTTTCTTTATTTTTATTTGACAATATAGTTTTTTCCCTAAACATAGCACATACCGAACTGTACAGAAGCCGTGACTCTAAAACCGTGATACAAATGGAAATCTTCACAAATCCGACTTTTGCAAAGGAGAATTGTCCATGTTTCATTTGTACAGTTGGATTTTGTTCTGCTGTTTATAAAAAGCAGATCTGCTCGTCTTCAATCTCAGAGTAAAAATGAACATTTAACACACTAACATAAAAAACCACAGGTTTTGTTGTAGCTTAAAGGCCTTCTGGATCCTTCATTAAAAGCATCATCTGCTCTAGTGGTAGAAACTTTGCTCTTTATGTTGAGACTATAAATTTGACTGATTTCAATGAGTTGGTTTAAAGCCACAAGGACTCAATTAAAAATAAATTTTACTTTTGCTTGAAAGAGGAGATGTCTTTTCTCTCAAAAAATCCTTTGCCAAAGTAAACTGTTAACCTGAAGCAGCCTTGGTTGTATGATGCAAAGCATGAAAATGAACATTTAACACACTAACATCAAAAACCACAGGTTTTGTTGTAGCTTAAAGGCCTTCTGGATCCTTCATTAAAAGCATCATCTGCTCTAGTGGTAGAAACTTTGCTCTTTATGTTGAGACTATAAATTTGACTGATTTCAATGAGTTGGTTTAAAGCCACAAGGACTCAATTAAAAATACATTTTACTTTTGCTTGAAAGAGGAGATGTATTTTCTCTCAAAAAATCCTTTGCCAAAGTAAACTGTTAACCTGAAGCAGCCTTGGTTGTATGATGCAAAGCATGTGATTTTTAACAGATGCTTAAGAGCAGACTGAGGCTGATATCCAATGGATAATAAAAAAAGGCATTGATCTTCTTCATGAAATTCCAGATGTAATTACATTTTTAAACATTTTAATATCCTATTAAAATTTTAATACCTATTTTAATATAATAATTCATGAAGTGACAGAGAAAACAAACTTACAAAGTAAGTTTGAGCTCAGAATGATCTCAGATGCACCTGGTTTGCTCAAAGTGTTTCAAACTCCATCTCTAATCAGGAAGGTAGGATAAATAATGCTACTATAAGTTATATTAAAGATTCTTGCCTTAATTGTCACTCTTTTCTGTGCATTTCCCTAGAGTCCTGTAAACCAAATAAGCTTGAAATGCTGAAAATGTCATGCACTTGTTTACTGTGACTTTGAAACAAGACCTCACAGTTATTTCGATTTAATTGGCAAATTTGTTCAGCAAAGCCCAAGTTTTCTGAGTTGAGAAAACATATGCTTGGTTTAGATATTTATGTACTACGAGGATAGACTTCTTTATCTCAGCACACACTATAGAGTTGGACAAGGGGGGGTCAGGGCTTAAAATTTCTTACAGCATGGCCAAATACACATCCCACGACATTCCTTAGTTACACAGTGGTGTGCTATAAAGTGTCATGGCATTTGTGAGCAGACGGTTTACAATTACGCATCTGTTAAATGTAAAGCAGCATTCCTTTTACCATTGAAAGAAACTGTCGTAGGACTTTACACATCTGTTCCGTTTGGAAAAGTTTAATTATAAAGTGGCTAAACACAATTCCAGAGTACAAAGCCCTTGATTATTCAAACTCAGATGTCAGTAGTGAGTTTATTCCAAGTCGGTAAACTTCAGTGCTCAAACTGTAAATAGTGCTCTGGACTCAAAATGGGGAGCTGAGCAGGTCTGCAGGAGTAACACACCTTTGGAAAACAACACTGAGGTGTTGGCTTACACCCCTGATGGTTTTAAAGTATTTATAAAAAGTATTCAGAGCTAGAGATTTTCCACTTGACTAAAACTGTGAAATGCAAAATAGTTGTATTAAAAGCCTAAACACATATGTGCAGTAGTGAAAACATTGACATGGGTTGCCAGAGTCTATTTATAATTTCAGTTAAGAACTTGTGGTCTTACCAGTGGCAAATGCTGATGAAAGAGCTGCTTTCATGAGCATAACAAGCCCTGAGAAAAGTCACAGCCGGTATAATTTTTTTCATTTTCTATGCCACAATCTTCTCATATACTAAAATGAAATGGTAAAATAAAACGACATTTGGATTTCCTCCTGAAGGAAATAACAGCACTCAAAAAGCATCACAAAAGTTAAAGTTTTTGTTAAAAGTATCCAGAAAGGGAGAAGAAAGCCAGAGCTCTCTTCCAAAACCTAGTGAGCTGCCTACAAATTTTTAGCCATCATAGGCATGTTCACAATACAAAGCTTGTTCCAAATATAAGGACCATTATGCTACCTAATAAGATACCTTATTTAAGCCAGATTCTAAAACAGCAACAACAAGCTAATTGAAAATATTAATTCAAGATGGCAAAAGTCAAGAGAAATGGGTCGATTTTAATTCAGTATGTAGTAAGTTTGATTAAGTATTGATAAAATGAGCTAAATATTGGACCATATATCCATACATTTGTGTGGGTTATGTATTTATGCTATTTTTGCTTAAAGTATTTTGTTTTTAGCTTAGCAACACGGTAACGTCAAACTACTGGAATCAACTGTGAATTATGTTTGCTTCATAGTTTTGCATCATTACAAGCACTTTAAAGACTATTAGACCAAAAAACATGGGGACAAAAAACACCCTAAGAAGGTTTGCTAGCTTAGCTTGTTTCCCAGTCCAGTAAAGTTGGTCTGGTTTGCTGGTGTAAATGATTTAAAAGTGTTTTGAGACTTGCTCAGACCAGCTTAAATCAGCTAAGGCTAGCCGCACTCTAGACGTTTTTAAGGCCGATTTTAAGCCCGATGTGCATCCACGAACGATCGGGGGGATCCTTTTCGCAAACGATTTTTTGTCCAAAAAAATCCTTTATTGTGTGGTATCATTACGATTATTTATCTGCTCCCAACCGAGACGGAGCGTCCCCGAAATCGTAAATATCAAACATATTTGTGATACCCGCGATAGCCAATGAGAGTGAGCAAGCGTCACCTACCGGATGTTGCGTGCTTCTATAGCTGAAACTTGGCAGTCACAAACATGCCATGAAAGCAGAGAACATCACCCATATTCTTTTTTATTTTTGTTTTTCACTGTTAAACAGAACGTGCGCCAGGAGAGCCAGCTGACAACGTTGATTGTCCTCTATTTGTTTTTCTTCTCTAGTCACGTTTGATCTCGCGAGTGTCCGTGAGATCACATGTCACTGTGAAATCGTTCCTACAATCATCAAGTGTGTGGTCTCGCAGTCTGGTCAAATCATCTAGTGTGTGCATTCAGAGGATTATAAGGCTAAAAATCGGTTGAACTGTCTTCGTGTCAGTGGTCTCCCATGGTTTTAAAATCGTTTAAGATTTGAAAATCTTCTAGTGTGTCCCAGGCCTTAGGTTAGTTAATTCTTGATCATGACAGGTGAACCCCACAAAGAAGTAAAGAAGCCGCTAATAATACTGTTGTTTCTTCTGGAACATTTAGGAGTGTGTCAAGCAAACTTTGAAAATGTACCGTGACCACAAGCATGTTTAAAATAGTCAGGGAGAGCACTTATCTCTCTCTTGTGCCTCTAAAACACAGTACCCAAAAACAGGTCTCCCAGAACAATACGTCTAACGATTCTACTAGACCTGCATTCAGTATACACTTAAGTGATTGTGACAGTGGATTCAACAGAAATGCTTACCAGCTTCACACACTTTAACTGGAAACTCAGTGCACGCTCTCAGCAATTTCTGGGAAACTCGTGATCAAACACTGGTCATACGCAGGTCTGTTGGCAAAAAATGAGAGACCACATGTTGCAGAAACATACTAGCATGCATTTACATAATCCGCTACCCAATTCTGACAGCAAGGTACTGTACGATCCAGACAAAAAAAGTGCCGGCGGTCCTGTGCTATTTCCTATCTGGCTATTTAGACAGGAAAGACTTAAGTACAGGCTGGGCTTTCCACACAGGTGTAGCTTTAGGGCATGTTCAATCCTCAAATGCTGCAGTAATAAATAAAAAAATGACTCCTTGGCTTCATTCCATGCTGATTTTGGGATGTTGCCCATAGGGGCATTAAAACAAGTAGCCGCTGGAGCCAATAATCTGTAGGCAATAATAGAAAGCGGAAAAACATGCAACGTAGCATCATGACTCAATATAAACGTCTCGGACAGGAGTAATGTACCATATGTCCTAAAGGTTCTGAGACTCATTCAAGCATTTTTATTAGTGGGCCATGCAGGAACTACTTAAACGTGACCTTAGGCACGATGACGCAACGGAGTACAGCTAAAGTTATCCCTTTCCAATGATAACCATTTTTAAACATGGACTCTATTAGTGGGTGTGGGAATAAAAAAACACAGGACGCCTGTATTCCTGGAAAAAGGAAAATAACAGACTGCATTGGGAGTCAACAGAATGGAAGTTCTATACACCCAGTTACGCTCCTTGGCACCAAGGCAAGTGCACCCGGAGGCCTGGTCAGGGGGTTAATTAAGCTTCCAGAAGCCAAGAGTGACGCAAAGCCAAATGGCATGTCATCATTGGTATAATTAGTATGTTATCATATGCCATTATGACCTCAGCACTAAAGTGCTTCTTAATATCAAACCACAGCCACAAGCAACATTGTGGCAGTGACAGTAGAAGGATGGAATGATTGGTAACATTAGTTGAGATGGTCAAACTTGACTGATGGTGTGGTTGAGGGAGGGATACATTACAGTTATTTTTGGACTGTGAGATCACCCTCATAAACCCTGATGTAGGATCTCACTGGTTGGTCTAGACGGCTAATTTGGAAAAAAAAATCCATGTCATTCATGTCTTTCTGGTTGTAAACTCCTGAAGTGTCCTCGTCGAACTCAAAGGACCTGACCTAGAAATACAGTTCATAAATCACTCAGCTGTATTATGAGGTTCAAAGGATGTTGTACAGGGAAAGGTTGCCTGTTTCAAAGGATTATGCAATACTTAAACTCACAGCTTTGGTGTACACATTAATAACTGTTAAAGCAAGCAATTTTCCCCTTAAATTTTCCACCACCTGGGAGTGCTTTAAGACAGTTTTGAAAGGGTTCAGAGTGCAGGGCTGTCAACACGTGGGAAGTGCAGATGGGAGTATTGAGTTACCTTCTCTACTGAGACTAAGGCACATCCGTTGTCGAACAATCCCATGTTACACACCTCCCAAGAGATCTAGATGCCATTAAATCCCAGTCGGAAAGTTGACTAAGTCAGTCTTCAAGAATCGGGAGTTGTCACGTACATGGCATGGAGAGGAAGGAACGATTCTCCTAACCTTTCACGTAACTGTATGTTGTAATTCAGATTGCTGCTTCCGTGTTTCATGTTGACAAAAGTTCAAAATTAACTACCATGCGAGTGGCTGAAAGAAGACCTCGGAGTATAGGGAAAGGGTGACAGGCAGCTTTAGGAATGAAATAATTGGCCTATGGTTTTGGAATTGAGAGGAAACTAGAAAGGACGCATCGTAAAAGCTTGGGAAACATGCAGGAAAAACTTTAGTGAGGTAATGGGTGATGTTCCCACTAGGTCAATTGCAGCAGAGTGTACTTAATTACAGTGCAGGTGACAGCTGAATGCTTGACTTTAAATGCTTTGACTTTCACTGGCACTCCAAACAGTAAGTCAAAGTGAGCTATAGTTACAGGCTGACATAATACCTGGTTTCTGTGAAAAGCTGAGGGGCAGCAGTAATTGTTTACAAAGCAAATTTCCATGTTCTTCCCTGACAGTTTTTGGGTGAGGCTTAAAGAAAAAGTTCACAGAGGAAGGGACCAAAAAGGGACCTCTTCCCTGTAGCTCTCAAATCTCATTTGTGCATATTAACATTTCGCACATTAAAAATGCTTTGTGCCAAGTTTGACGTAAATGACAATAGATCATGGAACTGATGAAAATGAAATTCGAGAGCTACAGTGGATGTGATTTTTAGTGGATGACAATTTAAAATTGGTCTGTTGCTATATTTGGAATATAGTGCACAAATATATTTGTTGGCAAAGATCAAAGTTTTTATTTTTTTATGAACAACAACTGTAACTTTAACCTGTCTGAAATCTGCAGTGCTTTGCAGGAGGGTAAAATGGCTTTCTCAAACATGTCAAATCTCATTGAGACACCAGAAGTTTGAGGCCATGACAGCCTTGGTGAACTCAAGGTAAAGGACTCTTTGTGTGTGCTCCCAACTGACAGAACAATGATTAAAAACACACCCAGGACATGAAATAACAGATTCCAGCACTTCTTTTGTGCTAACATGTTGTGAGAATAAGCACTTAACTTAATGTGTAACCCTCTGTGGCCCTGTTACACAGTAGAGAAATTCATAGAAATGGTTTTCGAAGAAGGAAATACTGCCTGCAGTATCAATGAGATCACAAAGACTTTTATAATACTATCCAACAGCATCCTGGGATGAAGGTAGCTCATGTTAACTTTGAGGTTTCCCATGACAGAGCATCCAGACCATGCTTGCAACCAAGGTAGGAAATGGGATACTAATACCTTCAGGTGTTTTTGCTGTGGGTTGTGATATGTCTTGCAGAAAACAAGTGATAGACCATTTCATATGCATGTTGTTTGAGGTAACAGAACCTCACTATGGTTCCCATTGACAGGGAAAGCACATAAATCTCACATAAATATCCTTTTATTGAAAGTACTAATAAGAAAGAATGTCCAACATTTGCAGTGTTGTAAATATACAACCAGCCGACCAGGAGACTTGAATATTAAGAGAATGAAGGTAGATGAGACTCCTTAAACTCCATAAATCAAAGTGTTCTCAAACTGGTAGTTTCATACGCACACTCCAGCTCTTTAATCAATGCCACATACCAAATAACTCAATCAGCGGACACACTTGAGGCACATGTAACCCATCAACCCCCAGCAGGGTCTCAGCCATCTGCTCTAAATGCCGACAGAATGAAGCAAATTTCATCAATGGCGCCTATAAACATTCCTTCTTCATGAAGATATCCCCAGAGACACCACACAGAGCTCCCAACTATTCATTAAGATCTTTATTTTTTATCACTGTTGGCCTAGTAACTGTAAGGTTATCTTTGGAAGGATCAGAAAGTTATGGACCAAATATCGAAAGATATCAAGCCAAATATCCAGGTTCTGTGTGGAGCCGGAGTGGTAAGACTTTATGAAGAGTGTACACAACTTTAAATGCCAATTGATTGTGCTCTGGAAGATGGTTTTGACTCAAAATAAACCCCGTCTTCACATTACAAACAGCTGCAGTTGTCTCAGACACATGTCCCAATGTATTGCCCATGATAATGACATTGAAACCACAAAGACCAATTTGATTAAAATTTACCATGCTTAATATTATAATCAAATCAGGGTTTGCAAATCAAAAACAGCCTTAAAAACAATGCTTTCTGCTTTTTCAACATGTTGCATGGGTCTCATTAATCATCGTAACCATTAGGTTCCAGAATCTGACACGGTATCAGCGATTTCCTTTGACATTAAAGATTAACTCATTATTCTTTCTTTATTCTTAAATGAGAACAAATGACTTAAGTAAGTGAGGGAACGATTCATCGTAAAATAAATGTTCCAGGTTTAAAACAAGTTCGACCGCAGCTGCAACTACATCTGTGCATTAACTTTGACTAGTCCCTCCATTTGTCCAAACAAGCAAAGATTGTGTTTACAGTAATGTATTTACACATCTAATGTTCAGAGGTCTGTAGCTAGATGATCATTGTGTTGATGTTTTGATGAAGTGCCTGCGGTTACTATTGCAGTGACAGCACAGATAAAATATGCTTTAATGGAACAAAAGTTGCAGGTTTAACCTGCATCTCAATACTGTGCCTTGTTAAAAAGTCCCTATGGAGTTTCTCTGTGTGATGATTTAACATTGAAGAGCACTCAAGAGTAGCCAAGAGAATAGTTAAGTAAAAAAAAAACTTTTCCATTAGTTTATGGCACACAATTCAAGCTCGAACAAGTGACTTCAAAAGTCAACAAGTGTAGGAAAATCCCTCTCTGCAATTTACTAAGGTGATCTGATGATTCCACAAAAGTCGCAAAAAAACAAATTGAGTAATTATGGTTGAGAGGTGTGACCTCCAAGCTGAGAAATTATTGGTGGAAATATTTGGAAATTTCAGTTGGGAAACATGTTCATGTCAAGAGTTGAGGAAAGCAATGATTAAAGCGATGTTGAGCACGCCTATGACAAGAACGTACAAGAAAATGAACAAGATGCAAATACCGAATTTACTTTTCAATATTAAGGCCTGGAAAAGCAAATGACACAAGAATTCAAGTCTTTAGGGCAGTTAATAAGGTAACATCGGACAGGACCTTAGCTTCCAAAGTTCATGAATAACACTTACTTCAGTTTCCACGGTTTAGTTGTCGACGTCACAGGATCTACTGTATGAATGGAAGCCCTGTTTCTAAGACTACTGAACCAGCAGGCCAGAATGTGGCTTCCAGCAATTATACACATGAGTCACACGAGCCTGAGTCTTCACATCATCTCAGCAGACATGCTGAGACTACACACTGTCTGTGTTTAAAGTTGGTCTACCACAAGTGTAGGACTGCACTTTCATTTGTTAAATTATACCAAACCCTCGATGCTTTTCACATGTACTCTGCACATATCTCGGCATGCTTACACTACACAAAGACAACCAAAAAACTAGACAGGTTCTATTAAATTATATTTGTCTACAATAGTACAACTAAAGCCGCCTTTCCACTATCTCCGACA